TTCTCACTCTGTTGTGTAAATACAGAACATGTGCCCCACTCCCCCTCCGCTGCTTATAACTGTCTTCTGACTGAAGGATGGCCCCTGGCCAAGGTTGAAATGCCCTTGAAGTTATGCATATCTGCAAACTCAAGACAATTTCCAAAAGAAAACATAATTGTTTATTCTTCTTGGCATGTAATATGTGCTTCCTTTCCTACACTGGGGGTATACAATCTCTCCTCATGTCCATTGGGGTACAGAAAACCTTATACTGACCAGCCACCATCGGTTCCCTACCATAACTAATAATAAAGCCATACCTTTACCAATCTGTCAACCAGATGATTTCTTTGGAATAGATAAACATTATGAGAGCACCCTGTCTGATTTGGGGCTGCCATGATACAGCCTCACAGGCTGGAGTGCAGTGACACAATCACAGCTCACTGCAGCCTCGACCTCCTGGACTCGGTTGATCCTTTCATCTCAGCCTCCCCAGCATCTGGGACTATAGGTGCATGTTACCATGTCTGGCTAATTTTAAAATTTTTTTTGTAGAGATGAGGTCTTGCTATTTTGTCCAGGCTGGTCTTCAACTTTTGGGCTCAAGTGATCCTCTCACTTCAGCCTCCCAATGTGCTGAGATTATAGGATTGAGCCACCACACCTGGGAGGTTTTCAATTAGGGGAATGACCTGTACATTGTCTTGTACTAACTCTTCTTCTTGAGTTCTGTGACCCTACACCCTCCTGGTTCTCCTTGCTCTCTGTTCACTCCTTCTCAGTGTCCTTCACTGCCACCTTCTCTCTCAACCCCACCTCTTCTAAGAAAGGAGTAGAAAATCTCTTCCTAAGTAAATTGGGGGTTTTCAGGACTCATTCTGGACTCTGCCTTCTCTCTGCAGTCTGCACAGGGAAGCATCCTTTTTCATTCTTTTAAGTAATCCACATATTAATCCCTAAATTCATATCCTTAGCCCAAAACTCTAGCCTCATTTATCCTCTCAATGATATTTTCATTTGTGTCTCACAGACATCTCAAACCTAATATTCTTCAAATTGAACTTATAGATTTCCTTTAGCAAATCCTATTGATTCTGTCTGCAAAATATGCATCAAATATATCCGTTTTTTTCTCTATCTCTTCTGCTCCTGCCCTTGCTTGAGCAAATAGCATCTCTCCCATCAAACCTGCCCTGGTCATTTCTCACCTGACATTGCTTCTTAACTTGACTCTCAATTTTATAAAAAGCCCAGAGTCATCTGATCAAACTGCAAATCAAGTCATTTTAGTATGGAAACCCCTCACTCGCTACTCACTGTATTCAGAATGAAATTCACTGCTGTTTGATGCCTATGAGGCCCTCTTTGACCTGACTCCATCTACTGGGTCAGTCAGCCCAGCTGCTCAGCCCGGTCTCCATTTCTTCTCTCCTTCCAGGCAAGGGGATGATTGCATTTCTTCAAAACTTTGGAGTGAGATCTGACTGTGTGACTTAAAGCATGAACAAAATGTGAACAAAAGTGATCTGATATTTGGTTTATCACTATTATTTTATTTTTAAAATTTCCTTTATTTTAATTTTTAAAAAATATTTTATTTTAAAGATATGGAGTACAATTCAGGATTAGGTGTACAAGTGGACATCATACAGGTAAAGTCTGGGTCTCCCTTTGATCCCTACTTTGCCTGGTTTGAAATCAAGTAGGCTTATTGCTGTTGTGTCACCATCCTAACTCCGGCAGTATCCCATTACTATCAGTCACTTTCTTAAGGTATTATGCACAGAAGAAAGGAAAAAAAAAAAAAAAGAATGACTGCACACTTCCCAAGAGAACAGGAGAACACAGAATCAACAGAGAATACGTTGTGACTGCAAACTTGAAAACACACACATATGTCAACCCAAAAGTTGAACGAAAACTAACAAAGAAAAACTTTATAAGAACCTCATGAACAACTATCATAATACCATAAGAAAAGGATTTGCAGTAGGGAAATTGCAGGGGTGTGGCCGGGCAGGGAGGTAGGATTGGCAGTAGTGGGAATCTGCCTGGGGAAGGAGGTCACACCTTATCAACAAGGGTACCTGCATAATGAACATTTGTATACCTAACCCTGGATTGTACCCCACATCTTTAAAATGAAAAATTAATAAAATAAAAAGTAAAATTTAATAAAAAATAAAATGAATAAATCATTAACCTTGGTCATTGAAATAAAAAAAAGAACCTCATGATGGGGATAAACAATCACATTTCAATAATCAGCATGAATGTGAATAGACTAAATGTACCACTGAAAAGACACAGAATGACAAACTGGATAAAAAACCATGACCCAATAATTTGCTACATCCAGGAAGCTACAAGGAGTGCACACAGACTCAAAGTTAGAGGATGGAAAATGAATATCCAGGTGAATGAATCACAAAAGAAGGCAAGGGTCATGTTCTTAATATCAGACAAAACAACTTTTAAGTTATCAAAATTAAAAAAGATATGAAAGTATAGGGAATGATATTGCTGACAATATATGGAGGAAAGCTGTCCTGGAAGCTTGCCCAAATCCAGAGTGGACTTTTTATGAGTGAAATATAAGCTTCTGTTGTTAGATTTGGGGTCGTTTGTTACAGCAGCAAACCTTGATTGACACAAGGCCTTGTATATACTCGGTCCCTTCACTGCTATGTTTAAATCTCACTGACTTTATTCCAGCTCCCAGAACACAACAGGATCTTTTTTCCATCAGGGTCATTACCCACCCTGTACCCTCTTCCTGGTACACTCTTTTTGTTGTTGTTGTTAAAAGACAGGGTCTTGCTCTGTCACCCAGGCTGGAGTGCAGTAGTACAATCATAGCTCATTGCAGTCTCCCACTTCTGGGCTCCAGTGATCCTCCCACCTCAGCCTCCTGAGGAGCTAGGACTACAGGTATGAACCCAGCCATTCTGGCATACTCTTACTTCTTCTCATTGTTCTGTTTTGACTTCTATGAGAGACCATGCCAAAGGAAAATTAAAAACCCACACCTTAACCTGGAAGATTCTATACATTAAGGGGAGAGGGGAAGAGTTGGGCTGTGTGTGAGAGGATAAAATTGGATGGGGCACTCATTTTCTACATGTGTTGAGTGCTCTATAAACCAGGCCTTATTCTGAGTGCTGGGGCAATAAGATGAATCAGTTCATAGACTGGTAAGGGAGATCCCCAAACTAAATGAGGAGTGGGAGGGGAATGGTAATGGTCATGGTAGTTGGCCAGATAAAAGAGGAGATTTAGAAGAAGTCACTGAATTTGGAGAGGAAGAGGTGGCTAGTGATCTTCAATCTTTATGGGAGCAGAAGCAGTTTGCAGGGGGCAGAAGCCTGAGTGGGAGGCAAAGGAGGAGATGCCATGAACTTTTAAAAATAGTGATTGCGGCCTATTGCTGAGAGTGCCAGGAACTTTTACACACATTCTTCCTAGTCCTTTCAAAAGTGAGTATTATCGCCTCCATTTTGTAGATGATGAAATCAAAGCTGAGAGATTAAGTCACTTGCCAAATCTTACATCAAGAATGGCTGGATTGAAAGCCAGGTCAGCTGACTTCACAGTCCATGCACCGCCCATCATCTTGTAGGCAGGACAGAGGTGCCCTGGACCTGCTGCCAGACCTGTAGGACCTTTGAAGTAAGGAACACACTGTAGACAGAGAGGTGGCGTGTGGAACTTTTAAAAAAACAAACGCAAAGGACAAAGTTTTTTGAAAAATTTTTCTTCTTATTCAATAGAGTATTAAAAAACAACTGAATCTTATTATTTACAAAGGGAATCACAATGAATTCACAAATTGGAATACATTTCTGGGTGGTCCAAGGAGCAGGCATTTGCATATTTTTGGTAGGTAATGACACTTTTAGTTATTAGCTCTGGTTGGGCAGGATTGGATCACCATGGGGGGCAGAGATATGAGTAAAACGTTAGAGAGAAAGAATCTGATATGAGGGAAAGGCACCTTGGGCATGTTTAAATATCATTACTAAAGTTAAACATTAAGCAGACATTTTTTTTCCTTATCACTAAACTAACACCTGCTTCACTTTGTTTTAGGTTTAAACATTTTTAAACCCAGGAAGTATCTGAGTGATCCTAGTTGGGCTGAAAAGGGTTTGTGGTGGAATGCATATTTCCAAGCAGGAATATATATATATTTTTCCCAGCCTCCCATCACCATACATTTTCAATAATCAGTAGTTTTTAATAAGAAGTTAATTTGAAGAGAGAGAGAGGGAAGAAAGGCAGAAAGGGGAAGGAAGGAAGGAAGGAAGGAAGAAGGGAAGGAAGGAAGGAAAGAAGTAAGTAAGGAAGGAATTAAGGGAGGAAGAAAGGAAGAAAATAAATCTACAATGAAACTGGAATATGTAGTCTCAGTAGGAGGTGACCAGCCCTTCCTAAAGACATCTCAAACACACACAATGGTAAGTAGCATTGATTCGACCTTCTTTACCCAGGATGACCATATTTTAGGAGGTTCAGGCTGAAATGGTGTGATCACTACCAATGAAAGTAGTGACTTCAAAGTGATATGGTTCCCAGACAACACAGCAACCAGAATAAAGTTCTGAATTGTCAAAGCTCATCTTCTCTAGAATATGTGGGAAATCATCAGAAGATATTGAGCACTGCTGAGGCATTCCATTGGCCAGAGTCCCTGTTTTATGTTTCAGAATTCTCCACTTCCATTACTTTGCCAAAGAACGGGCTTTGGGGCCCCATAACAATGTCAGAATAGGGTTGCATTGATCAGGCAGTCCTCTTTCATCCAAAGTTTTGAGCAATCCCGCCTGGGCGCTCTCTTATTTTTTGAAGGACAAAACTACATTCCCACTGTGAAGTTCATTTCCCGTAATTCCTACAGTTGGGTTAGTCCAGTTCTTTCTCAAAACTAGGGGTTCTAGTTTTGGCTCTGCCTCCCGGGTCTTTTGATGAGGCCATAGATGACTTCAAGGCTGAGACATCTGACTGAATAGAAAACTTCACACTGGACCATATAAGCCCAGGTTCCGGGCAGCTTGGGAGATCCTGGGAGTTTTCCTCTGGGGAAATGGATAGTGACCAGGTTTGCCAGACCTGTGTGGGTTCTTTATGGAAGAAGGGCACTGAATGCTGAATTTTAAGGCAGATCCTACTGCATTTGTTTGGGTGTTACCCAGCTGGCATTGATGCTGGGCTTCCTCTGGGAGTTTGACTCCTCGCTGAGTTATCTGATTGTTTTCAAACAAGCCTGTGTCTCCTTCTGGAGGAAGCCTTTGGTCAGACTCCACAAGCTTGCCCTCATGCTCTACTTGATGATGGGTTTCCTGGGGGAAGGTTTGGACCAAACAATGCATTTCTAGATGTGTGCGCCAGGGAGACTCCTGAAGACAGCCTCGGGCAGCCTCATCCAGCATCCCCTCCACCTCAGGATCTGCCTCTCCCAGGGACAGCGAACTCCTTCTCTCCTTATTAATCCAAACAGTGCTGATCATGGATTCAGCGGGAACAGATGTATTTCCTCCTAAGAAAAGAAAGCACAAGCAGGGTCATTACTGGAAGGAACACAGGCAGCTCTCACTCGGGAGCGGGGGAAGTCCCAGAACTTTCAAGCTGAATGAAGGCCATATCCAGAAGGTACTCATTATATTGCATGTGTGTGCACACATGGTCTCACTTACAAGCGCACACACATATGCATCCTCCCCTCCATATATATAATGCCACGTTCATTCATCCCACAAATATTATGGAGTACTTAATGTGTGCCAGGCATTATTTATTCTAGGTCCCAGGGTTACAGCAGGGAACATTATGACAAAACCCACACCTTCATGGATGTGTCCTGGTGGAGTAGAAAGACAATAAGTAAATGAACATATTATAATAAAATTTGAGTTGACAATCAACACTATGGAAAAACTCAAGCAGAACAGAGGGGTCAGAAACTGAAGTGAGGGAGTAGAACTCTGGGAGGAGGTTGGGAATTATTTTTTGAGGGCCCACGCGTACTCATACACAGATGGATTCATAGACACGCACAAGTGGAAACTTATGGAGCTTTGTGCCCTAGAATTCTGAAAATAAGGCAAAGGAGGGAGGAGCTGTGCCTTGAAGCAGCTCCTTTCAGAAAACTGGCCATTGTCCTTCTTCTATTCCACAGACACTGCTCTGGGAAGACATTTGCAGCATCTACTGCTTCTCTGAACTGGCTTCAGGGCTGAGAAGGTGGAGCAATGTCTCTCCTGTTTCTCAGGGGCATTTTTTTCTTACTATTTTGTGGGATACAATAGTTCGTTGTCAGCTCTTGGCGGCAGTGACAGTGGTGGTGGGGATGACTGAAAGGCATTTTCCTATAGAAAGCAGGTCTGTGACCAGCCTGGGGTTCCTCTGAAATGTCAGTTAAGTTCACTTGAGTGTTCTGGCACCTGTCACCACAGGCGGCCCTGGAGGTAACAAAGTGCATAGCACAAGTGGGGAGAAGATGTTGGAGAAATAAAGTTAGAAGGAAGTTCTTGAGCTCCAGTTCCAGGAATGCAAAAGGGACAATGACCAGATGTGGCCATTTCTGCAAACAACCACAGTCCTATAAACACTGATTATAGCGGCAAGACTCTGAAGATTTGCTCCTGTTTTGTAACTGCATTATTTCTTTAAAATTATTTTCAGGCATGAACAACAACCTTTGCAAATATTGAAAATGCAATTTACATATTTGAAAACAAGGAAGGAGGGAGACGTGTTGAAAAAACCAAGCAACTGGTATCCTCTCCCATCATGACTCTAGGAGGAAAGGACCCAAAGTGGACAGACAGCACTGGTAGCATCGGTAGCAAGAGCTGCTCAATGGTCAGTTCCAACCTGTGGTTCAGAGGTCAAGGAACGAGAGTTGGCTGAGAGGTACACGTGGACCCTGACCCCAGAGCAGATCCTGCTGAGAATCATGCCGTGAGCTTTCTGTTTCAGTGCCATTTACACCTTTGGAACGGGGCCTTCTCCTCACTGTCCAAGCAAAAGCGGATTAAGATAATTGTCAGAAGAGAACAGAGAAATCTCATATTTAAAAAAATCTGCTTTGTTTTGGTTTGGGTAAGTCAGGGACTAGGGATGGAGGGAACGTCCTAATTATTTACTTGCTTGCTTTTTTTTTTTTTTTTTTTTTTTTGAGTTGGAGTCTCGCTCTGTCACCCAGACTGGAGTGCAGTGGCTGTGCAGCCTCAACCTGCTGGGCTCCGGCGATCCTTCTGCCTCAGCCTTCCAAGTAACTGGAACTACAGGTGTGCTACCACGCCCGGCTAGTTTTTGATTTATTGTAGAGATGAGGTCTCGCCAAGTTGCCCAGGCAGGTCTCGAACCCGCGGGCTCAGGCAATCCACTCACCTCAGCCTCCCAAAGCGCGGGATTACAGGCTGAGCCACTAAGCCCAGCTTACTTGCTTTCGTAATTCTCCAGGTTCAGATACAGGTTCAGGAAAGGGCATTTTGAGCTGCTCCTTGATTTTTCTCTTCAGCTGGGATGAAATAGGGGATGGAGAGAAGAGCGAAGAGAGTAGTAAAGCGACTCAAGGAAGAAAAAAGAATCAGAGCTCACCGTAAATCCTGGTGCCCTCTTGTGGAGTCTTTCTCATCAAGTCAGAGTCAGGCAGATGCGAGTTCTGGTTCTGACTGCATCACTGACTTGCTGGGAGAGCCCAGGCTCCATTTCTTTTCCATAAAATAGAGATCTTAAAAGAAGAGCTACCTTACATGGCTGTTGAGTGCGTTAAATAAAAAGTACATAGAAAATACCCAGGCCAGATACAAGTCCTGACCCGAATCCCTTTTCTACATGAGATGAGTCACACACTGTCAGAATATGACAAAAGCATATGCCTTTTGGACATCAACGATTGGGGGTAACTAGGCTTCATAGACTTGGAAGTAGCTCAAGGTCCCCTGGTGCCCTTGTGTTGAGACAGGGAAAGGTTGCTGCTACTTGGAATTACATTTTTAGAACCTAGATCCATCCAACAATAAGATAGTGTGAGGCCGGGCTCGGTGGCTCAACCTGTAATCCCAGCACTTTGGGAGGCCAAGGCTAAAGGATTGCCTGAGCTCAGGGGTTCAAGACCAGCCCGGGCAACTTGGTGAGATCTCTTCTCTACAATAAATCAAAAATTAGCCGGGAGTGGTAGTGTGTGCCTGTAGTTCCGGCTACTTGGAAGGATTGCCAGAGCCCAGTAGATCGAGGCTGCGTGCCACCACCCTCCAGTCTGGGCGACAGAGTGAGACTCCAACTCAAAAAAAGACAGCGTGAAGAACACCAACTTCAGAACACTTCCTTCCATTAATCTGCTCCCAGAATTCCTTCTCTTTTAAATGCAACCCCATATCTTCAGACATTAGATTTAGTGTTAGTAGGAACCCAATCTCAATGGTCACTCTGTCTTCCTGGGTCTTTCTGCTTCCTTGGACACTGAGGATCACTATCTTCTAAAATCCCTCACCAGCTTCACTTCATGGCATTAATAACATTTGATTTTATTCTATACCTTAAAATATTTTAATTACAGTAAAAACATATAGCATAAAATTTACTATCTTAACCATTTAAAAATATATCGTTCAGTAGTGTTATGTACGTTCACATTGTGCAACTGATCTTCAGAATTCTTCGTCTTCCCAAGCTGAAACTCTGTACCCATTAAACAATAACTCTCATGCCTTCAGTCCCTGGCAACCACCATTCCACTTTCTGTCTCTAAAAGTATGACTATCCAGCCGGGCTCGGTGGTTCAGCCTGTAATCCTGCGCCTTGGGAGGCTGAGGTGAGTGAATGGCCTGAGCCCGTGGGTTTGAGACCCGCCTGGGCAACTTGGCGAGACCTCATCTCTACAATAAATTAAAAAATTAGCTGGGCGTGGTAGCACCTGCCTGTAGTTCCAGTTACTTGGAAGGCTGAGGCGGAAGGATCACCGGAGCCCAGCAGGTCGAGGCTGCAGTGGCTGGGAGCGGCCACTGCACTCCAGTCTGGGCGACAGAGTGAGACTCCAACTCAAAAGTAAATAAATAAATATGACTATCCCACATACCTCATTTAAAGGAGATCATACAGTATTTGTCTTTTTGTGACTGACTTATTTTACTCAGCATTATGTTCTCAAGTTTCATCCATGTTGTAGCATGTGTTGGAATTTCTTTCCTTTTTTAACTAAATGATATTTTTCTCTTATCATTTTGATTCTGTCCTCCCAGGCTTCTTTTCCTCTACTTGTCACTTAAATAATTGTGAATTTTAGAACTCTAGTTTTTAATCCCAATTTCTTTTCAGTTTATACATTGACTTGTCACAATCGTACCCATGCCCATGGCTTCAGTCACTAGCTATCTGTTGAGGACCCCAAGTCTATATCTCCTGCCTAAATTCCTTTCCTGGGATTCAGACTCGTAAAGTCTGCAGACAACTCTCTCAAATGGAGCATATTCAAAAATAAATTTGTCTCTCCCTACCAAGAAATTTTGCTCCTGTATTCCTTATCTCAACGATCAGCACCACCATCTGCCCTGTTGCCAAAGCGTAGGGCACAAGAGCTCTTTTTCCTCCCTGTCATCATTTTCACCTTTTTTTTTTTTAACCTTACCCTGATTTCTCCCTGGAGAACTACCTTTTATTTTACATTTAGTCAAAATGCTTCAGGTGCCCTTTTATCTCAGACTAGTGAGACATAAATGATCCGGTCCTCGGCCAAGCCCTGATGAGTTGGAACTTTATATATACAAATTCATTTGATCCCTCCAACAACACTAGGATTTTAGTACTACAGTTATTCCCAGTTGACAGATGAGGAAATTGAGTCTCAGATAATTTATATAAGTCATTTAAGGCTGCTTAGCAAGTACATGGCAGAGCCAGAACTCAAACTCAGGCTCTGCTCCAAGACCCGATGCATTATACTCCATTACATGGTGCCACCTCTCACAAATATATAAAGAATGTGGAATTGAGAACTGCTAGAAGTGTCCTGAAAGACCCTGACTAGCCAGGGGAGTCAGAAGTCCTTGCTGAGAAAATCATGCCTGACCACTCTTTGCATGAACCTGACGTAACTTATCACCTGGTAAAGATGGGAGAGGGAGCATTGAGTTACTAAGAGCAGGAGAAAGTACCAATACAGGGACTGGTGAATTCTATAAGGCATGCTGAATTGGAGACATCTTTGGATTATGCCTATTAAACAATCGCATTTGTGAGTCTGACTCTCAGGCGCGTTAAACATGGCATTTGCATTTGATAGGGGTTTAAACTAATAAATGTTTGTTGAAAGACTGAATGAATAAGTGCCCTTGAAGGTGGGATAGAAATTTAAGCTCTTTTCAGATTATGCCCTGAAGAGATGGGTGCTATTTGGCTGTGTCCGTTTAGTCCTATCAGAAACCACTGGCTGGCAACAGCCCAAGTAATGAGAGATGAGCTCTGTTAGCTCTGAGGCACCACTTTTGTCTCCAAATGCCAGCACACTTCCTGCTCTAGACAGTGAGGTCCCCCTGGCCCCTGATTCACCACTCAATGAGTGCACTGAACTGTACAAATAACCACAGAAACTCTCAGGGCCCAGGTTTGACCTTTCCAGGCATCTTTCCTCCTCCCTTGACCTATTCTTCTCTGTTAGAGGATGAAGGCTGGCATTTGACAGCCACTTGCTTTCAGAGCCCTGTGCTTCTAACTCCCTCTCAGAATGAAATCTGAATTCCCAAAGAGAAGAGACTTCTCTCCATAAGGTGTGTGTGTGTGGCAAGAGGGGATGCGGTGTGTCTGATCACACCTCTCTGGCTGCTGGTTGGGGCAAGATGAGCCTGGGTTGCCTCCTGGGTCCCTGAGCCCTGGGCTTCCTCTGGCCCAACCAGTTCCCAGCTTTTTGGGAATGCTGTCTTTTTTCTCCAGAACCAGTTTCTCTAGTTTATAGGAGGTGTCTCCGTTAGATCCAGCCAGGAAGCCAAGCTCCCAGCACACCACCTGACCTAGTAGTGGGGCCAAGCCTGGCTCACCAGGCTGGCCAGTTGAGCAAGATCGGAACATGGGGCAGAGTCCAGGAACAGCACTGGCAGTCAGGCAACTGGTTGAGTCGCCCCTTCCCCCGTACCCCCTCTTTGGTGGAGAGAGAGGCAGCTGAACAGAGCAGCTCTGAACTGGCCTCCTCATCTCTTCCCCACCAGGAGGGCCAGCAGAGCTCTGGTCCTGCCTCTCTGCAGCCAGCCACCCATTCCTCCCACCGTCGGCTCCTCACCTCCTACCGTCCCAGACCTACCTCTTGGGAGCACCAGAAGGTGGGCCTGGGTCCTCTGCTGCCTTCTCAAGCCTTCATACTGGGCTCGCAGGACCCGGATGCTGAGAGGGGCCCCTTTCCCCGGAGCCTGAGTCCCAGAACTCTCAGCCATGAAGTGAGACCCCAGCTGCCAGAAGTAGGGCAGGGCAGGGCATGGGCAGGACAACCTCTTCATCCGGATCCGGGAGAAAAGCAAACACTGCTGGGTGTATGTGTGCAGGGGAGCGGGAGGTGGCGGATAGAGGGAGGGGCAGGGTGGCAGGAGGGAAGGCGATAGGCAAAAGGAGGGTGGACAGGGGAGCAGGAAGAGAGGAGGGAGATGGAAAGATAAGGGGAGGGAGAAAGACGAAGGGAAAGAGAAGGTAGGGAGAGGGAGAAATGGGGGAGGAAAATGGCAGGGAACGAGGGAAGTCAGAGGAGAAAGAAAGGTCAGAGGAGCCGGCTCGGTGGCTCAGCCTGTAATCCCGCACCTTTGGGAGGCTGAGGTGAGTGGATTGCCTGAGCCCGCGGGTTCGAGACCCCGCCTGGGCAGCGAGACCTCATCTCTACAATAAATCAAAAAATCATCCGGGTGTGGTAGCGCATGCCTATAATTCCGGTTACTTGGAAGGATGAGTCGGAAGGATTGCCAGAGCCCACCAGGTCAAGGCTGCGGTGCCCGGGAGCGGCCACTGCACTCCAGTCTGGGTGACAGAGTGAGACTCCAACTCAAAAAAAAAAAAGAAAAGAAAAGAAAGAAAGGTCAGAGGAGAGAAGGGGCAAAGGAAGGTTAGGGAAAGAATGGAGGATGAAGGAGATAGTGGTAAGGGGAGATTACTGGAGTGAGAGAAGAAAGAGGGTGGGGAAGTTGGAGACAGGCAGAAGGAAATAGGGAAAGGGGTGATGGGGGAGAGAAGAAGTAGTGGGATAAAGAGAAAGGCAAACACAGCTGTTCAGCGTCCTTCTGGGAGCCCAAGGAGGTATCTTATTCCAGGTCCTTCCATTTCTCGATCCTAAAGTTTAGACTCCATTTTCAAGAGCCACTGTGAAGTCTATTTCCTGGTCGAGCTGGCACTGGGGCCGGGAACGCCAAGGGCCCGCACAGCTCACACATCTTGGACTGCCATGTTGGATGCTCATTGGCAAATAGCCGGTTTGGTTTGCAGTTGTTAAAAAAGAACACCCTCAGCAGCCTCACAAAGCTGGGACCTAGGGGAACGCACCCAGTGATCATGTCCTAGAGAAACCCAGTAACAGAGGTCTCCCCAAGATCTCCACCCAGCCAACACACAGCCCAGGTGCAAGCCCAGCCCCAAAGTTGGCCATGGGGACAAGCCCAGGGGAGCCTTGGCCTTGGGCCAGCCCCACCCCGTTGGCATTCAATGCAGCCTCTGCAGTCTCAGCAATTCCAACCAAGTGGCAAGTTGATATTTAACTCACCCACAGCTAGGTGCACCCTTTCCCTCTGCTCCTTAGCCCCACCATTTACACGTCCCTTTAGAATCCCAGACCTTCTCTCTCTTGCATCAGCTTTGACCTATCCTTGGTCAACTGCATCTTCCTATCTTCTTTCATCAGTGCCTGCAGAGGACCCAATTACCCAATATGTCTACAGAGGCAATGGAAACAGAGTAGAGGCTGAAACTAGGAGACATTTTAGAGGTTAGCCAGACAGGATCTTGTCACTAGATATGGGGAAGAGGGCATGGAGAGAAAATTTCACTGGGTAGTATATCAGTCTGCCAAGGCTGACACGACAAAGTCCTACAAACTGGGTGTTTTTAGACCACAGATATTTATCGTCTTAGAGTTCTGGAGGTTAGAAGTCCAAAAGCAAGGTGTCAGTAAGGGTTGATTTCTTCGGGAGGCTGTGAGATAGACTCTGTTCAGGGCTTCTCACCTGGCTTCTGGTGGTGTGTTGGCAGTCTTGAGGGTTCCTTGGCTTGTAAAAGAATCACCTGATCTCTGATTTTACCTTTACATGATGTTCTTCATCTGTGTCCAAATTTACCATTTTTATAAGGACAGCAGTCATATTAGGTTAGGGCTCAACCTAATGACTTCATCTTAACTTACTAATTACATTTTCAATGACCCTATTCCCAAATAAGGTCACATTATGAGAAGCTGGGGTTAGCACGTCAACATATAAATTGGGAGTCAGGGACATAATTTAACCCATACTGCGTGGAGAGATGACAACTCCATTACAGGAGAGGAGAGGAGTGAATGAAGGGGAAGGCGGAGAGAGGATATGTTTTAGTTGTGACATTTGAGGTTTCTATGGCCTTTGGGTATCAGGAGAGAGTTAGAAGCTAGATAGATATGAGCTGGAAATGCCAATGCCTTTTCTATGAATGATACAATTTATCATAGGAAGAGTTTTATCATTAGCCATGAATATACAAAATTGGGAGATAGCCCAAAATAGCTGTTTCTTTCTCCTTTTCTATCTCCCCATTAACTTGTTTAAGTCCATGTTTAATTGGCAGCAGAGAGACCTCCTCTTTTTTCTCCTCCTTTCCTGTTTCTCCTCTTCTGTCCCAGGTTCAGCTTCTTTCTCTTGGCCCCGGGTCCATTATCATATTCTAACTATTCGAGGAAATGAATAGTCCGGACTGGATAGAACTTCTACAAGACAACTTCTTTTTTTTTTTTTTTTTTTTTAAGTTGGAGTTTTACTCTTGTCTCCCAGGCTGAAGTGCAGTGTGGGCACGCTCACAGCCACCGCAGTCTCCACCTGCTGGGCTTAGGTGATCCTTCCGCCTCAGCCTTCCTAGTAGCTATAACTATAGATACACACCACCATACCTGGCTAGTTTTTTGTAATTTATTGTAAAGACGAGATCTTACCAAGTTATCCAGGCTGGTCTCAAACCCCTGGGCTCAGTCATTCCTCTCACCTCAGCCTCCTAAATTTCTAGGATTGCAGGTTGAGCCACCGTGCCTGGCCAAGACAACTCTGTTATTACATTAAAAAAAAAAAAAACCATTGTCCTTTTTCTTCCTCATCAAGGCCTTCTCCAGTTATCCTGGCTTGAGTTGAGTAGGGCTCTAATCATGGAGAGGATATGCACTCCTGGAAAAGGATTATGGAGGAGAAAAATTGTTACCCTACCTCATAGTAATGAAAGACTTCAGCTCTTGTGTTAGCTCAAGTCCTGGAGCTGGGTCGAGATTTTCAATGAAGGAGAAGATTTCAAGAGCTCTGAAAAGACAAACATTTAAGGACCAGAAAGACTGGGCATCTCTACAATAAATCAGAAAATTAGGGCTCGGTGGCTCAGCCTGTAATCCCGCGCCTTTGGGAGGCTGAGGTGAGTGGATTGCCTAAGCCCGCGTGTTCGAGACCCGCCTGGGCAAGCGAGACCTCATCTCTACAATAAATCAAAAAGAAATTAGCCGGGCATGGTAGCACGCCTGTAGTTCCAGCGACTTGGAAGGCTGAGGCGGAAGGATTGCCAGAGCCCAGCAGGTTGAGGCTGCGGTGGCTGGGAGCAGCCACTGCACTCCAGTCTGGGCAACTGAGTGAGACTCCAACTCAAAAAAAAAAAGAAAGAAATAAGAAGGTGGTGTTGAAAATCAAAAAAGTATAGTCAAAGTGATGGGAGGAGAAACAGCAAAGAGTGACATTCCAGACTGGAAGGAAGGAGAGAATGTCTCAGGAGATGATGGCCAAAATGGAGGAGGACAGAAACTTCTGATCTGCTCACTTGCCCTATAGAATAACTTCTGAGCAATTTATGCAGAAGACTCATTGTCAATCTGACTGCACGCTGAAAATACCACCTGTGAAAGTGCCTCTTCTAAATTTCCTGATTTAATTAATCTGGGTTGGTGTCTGGAAACTGGTATATTTCTGAAACTCTCCACTGCCCTAAAGAGCTATTTGCCCCGTTTTATGGGCCTCAAGTCTCTGGTTAAGAGAGACGGGTGGTGAGATATAGTCGAAATTCTTCATATCGTTTCATCAGTTGATCCCTCTATGATGTGCTGAAAGCAAGAGCGATCTGTCCATGCTGGGCCATTTGCACCTGCCATAAAATCAGACTTGATTTTGACCACATTTTGTCATTTACTCATTAACCTTCTTCTTTTTGGTATTGACAGTTTTGGTCTTTTTCTCCATGTACATATTTGTAGATATTTCGGTAAGAAGTAGTTAGAGGTTACCAACTACTGGTTGCCCGCCTTTTGGGAGCTTAAGTTTCTTCTTTTAGTTCAAATGGTTCCTCTCTTTCTTTAAAAACTCAAATCTTTTTTTTTTTTTTGAGTTGGAGTCTCACTCGGTCGCCCAGACTGGAGTGCAGTGGCCGCTCCCGGCCACCGCAGCCTCACCTGCTGGGCTCCAGCGATCCTTCCGCCTCAGCCTTCCAAAAAACTCAAATCTTTAATCCACTTGGAATTGATTTTAATGTTAGAGTGTTCAGTATAAGACAAGGATCTAGGAATTTTTCTTTCCTCCATGTAATTGCCCAATTGTCTCAATACCACTTACTGAATAAATGTTCCCTTCCCTATATTTGTGATAACAATCATAATAGCATAAGAAAAATATTGGCAAATGTATCTCATCTCAGGGGTTCTTCAGAAATAAGTAAAAATATGATTGAGTCTGGAGCCCTTCTTGGGCTTCTGTCACTAAAGGGTGACCTTTATTATCCAGATAAATCCTTCGGAGGAACAGAAAATAAACTGCAAAGTTGCTTAGGGTTTGAGACTATAGAGTATGGATGAGATGTTCTATTATTTGAAGAAATATCTTCTATATATGTCTTTAAACTGAATTGTACCTGAAATGCAATGTCTGTGGTTGGGAGATAAGTTTGTGCTTAATCTAACAGATTGGTTCATTAAAGGAAGCACCATTTCTACAAATTCATACATTCAAAGTTCTCAGCCTTACAGAGTGAGGGTGATTCCTTTCTGAGAAAGAAGGGGTTAAGTCAGACATATAAAAACAATAGTTACATTCATCGAGCTCAAACTGCAGTGAACCAGGTACTCCATGTATATAATCATACTTTTTTATTGTGGTAAAATATGCATAACATAAAATTTATCACATTAACTATTTTGAAGGGATTAAGTTCATTCACAATGCTGTGCAACATTGCTACTATTCCTTTTTAGAACATTTTCATCATTCCAAACAGAAAGTCTGTAACCACTAAATAATAACTCCCACTTCTCTTG